TTGTTTGGATAATCGACTATTGTATCTACACTATATATATATATATATTGTATAACTGTTAAGGTTTTCCAACATCTTATATCAATAATAATATGCATTCTACGCAAACATTGTTTTGGGAAATAGTTTTAATGAGAAACAATATAACCTTATACATATGGAATTTCTCGATAAAATGTCAAATATATACTTCATAGTTTCTCACCGAGCTAAAAACCAAACAAAATATTTTTTTTAACATATTGCCCAATACGAATTGGAAAGTATACATAACTTTAAAATATTCGAAAATGAATGGAAGATAAACCATAAAATGAAAGAAGAAATAGGTTTAGTTGAATTCTAGACCTAATTCCATTTCAAGGCATCCTGCTAATTCGCCATCACCATGGAAGATTTCTAGTAAAAACTCATAATCTCCCTAAAAAACAAAACAAAGAAACGAAAATGTTACTGTTCTTGCTGTAAATAGTAGAGACTGAAGATTAGTAATCGGCAAATTGTATGTTGAATTAACGATATTTTATTTGTAACATATTTTCTGAAAGCTAAGATATTTAAAACTGTACTCAGCATATGCTTCGCAGGTAGGTAAATAAACAGTGTAACTACGTATGGAAAATGAAAAGATTAGGTCAATAAACTTCGTAACGTAACTCGCATACCTCAACTACACCGGGAATGTCACCAACAGGTGGAATAGCCACGTGTATATCATATGCAGCGTAGTTTCCCACTGGTGGAGGACACATGCATTGAATATCGAACTTAGACACGTGATCGGAACAGGGAACCATCGAACATACGTCTTCGTATGTACTGAAATAACAATATGGCCATTAGCAATGTCGCTCCGAGCAATGGTCGAACCAACTACAGTCTCTTCATAGAGGGAATGTGTGACCAGCCATATAATTACATTCGATTGCGTTAATACAACATCAACATCCCACACTGTATTATGCACATACTTCACAAATTCCCCAAACTACGGCTAATAAGAATATAGTTAACATCCACATCATTTGATCCAATCAGTATTTATCAAACGTTTAGAAGTTTGATATATTTTTGTAACCAAATTAAAGATCAATGGAAAGTTAGAGGGTCGGCAAGGGGCATTTTCGTAAGCTGTAATCAATTGTTTTTATTCTCGCAATATGTAATTCAAATAAATAAAAAACGTAAATTCGTAGACATGGACAAGATGTAAAATGTAATCAGCTATTTTATTCGTCCGTATTTTGTAAAAGATTTTATTTATTGTAAGCATGTAAAGCATTTTCCACATTAAAAGTCGCAATTCGTACGAAATTTTCAATTTTGATTCTTAAACACAAATTATCAAATATATTATAAAAATGTAAAATGTAATTAGGAATTTGCTTTATCTGTAAAGCGTAAAAACCTATTTTTACTGTAAATGGAAATTTCATTTTATTCCCTGTAAAAACGTAAAATGCCTTCATTATTTTCTGTAACCTGTACAAGATATCCCCCTTGCCCCCCTCAGATTAAGCATATTGGTTATTTCTACATTAGAAAAAAACGAGATTTTCAAAACACTGTTCACGCGACCAATAAACATGTGTACAATTGAGAGAATTCCACTTACCATGACCCCAAACTGTAGTTACCAACATCCACACATGGAATATCAATATCTGGTAATATTTTTATCACTTTAGTCATTGTCATTTTGGCTGTTATTGGTTCGCGAATCACGCTGGTAATGTCTACGTCATACGTTAGATACAAATCTCCGGGGATCGTGATTGGTGATGGGGATATTGACAGTGTGTTGATTTGTACAACGTCACCTGAAATAGAATTATTTACGTTGAATAACTCATGAGAAAGTTATTAACAGCTAGAAGACAATTACTTTTACTATTTACTATTTACAACGGAATCTACAGAAAAGCTTGATGGAACACACTCGCATATCGTTATGAATACCATAATTTCTGTTCACAATTACGCTTACTCAAACCATAGACCCTCCAGTGGTATTTTCTTTGATGTTAGGTGATTTTGAATCCTGTAACGTTTATTTGCTCCCTGATTACTAGTACATGTAGTTCATTTGCGTTACGTTCTGTCGAGCTGAGGTCAATTTAGATCACATCGCGAGCCGCGATTATGCACTCTGTGCTCAAACAACTGTGATAACAGAGTTGCTCAGTATTCTATCTTTTGTTCTCAATTGTTTCAGTAAAATTGTGTTCACTACATTGAATTGGTTGTTTTGAAGACACCGATTCCATTGTCAACTGTAAACCACCATTAAAAATTACGCCCGCTAAGGGGGTCGAACCCTTGACCTTAGGATTAAAAGTCCCACGCTCTACCGACTGAGCTAACCGGGCTGCTCAGTACATGACGTTTCTGTTCTTATTTCTCTTTGAATCTGACAATTTTAAATAACAATTTTATTGCTGGTTTCATATAACTGAACGTGTATAGTTTGTGAAATATATAATACATGTTTTATAGAGAAATAATGAATGAACTGCCTTAGATTTTTAGTGTGTATTTATGTTATTTAGAACACGTGTACTGTACGGCACCAAATTGCCTAGGTAGACGCACAGTGGAGGGACTGTGGTAGACGTCACGGCACCTCCTCTGCCCTCCGCTACCAATCACAAATTTGCTGAATGCCCTGGATATCCTGATGTGTACATTTACGTTTTGATTGGACAATCAAATTATCATGAGACATAATTTTGTGCATAAATTCCAAACATGCCTAAAACTCACAGTTAATTTTGGATTGAATCTAAGTTATTCTAATGATGAACTTGCATGGAAATTTATAATACTAGTATGTTAATGTCTTCTTCTAATTTGATGTCATCTGAATCTTGACGGCCACTGGCTAATTTAAAGGGCGGCGGTCGTCGTGCCACGCATGCGTGAGATATGGGACTCATATGAACAAAGGTGGCAACTTTGACTGTTGCGCAGACCACGAGTATAAGCTGAGACGTTACTAAGATTTAACTATGTAATTTTTTTAGTGATTTGAGGAGTCTGCTGTGGTAATTAGTGTACGCTGCCCCTTGGATAAAACACGTACTCGTGATTTCCATTAAAAGAGCATGGATGGTGGGAAAATCAATGTTGTTCAAACCAAAAGTCGCTCATGCGCAGCGCGACGACCACTGCCCTTTAAGTTTGTCTTGACATGCAATATATATTGGGCTGCATGCTCACTTTACTTTTTTGGAAGTGATAAAAGAATCATTCTCTGATCACTGCGGGATTCGCATAATGCTTGAAATCATACATGAAACAGGACAAACAAAGACCATAGCGTCGTAGTGGCGTCAAAATACCGCGTGGGATTCGACAAACGCGAAAGTATTGGGGGAGGGGGGTATTTCGGAGTAAAGAGATCTCAGAACCATATTCAATTTATATCTGAAAGATGGGTATTTCGACATTGAACTATAAAATTGAGAAATTTCTTTTATGCATTACGCGAGATTAAGAATGGCAACCACTTGGTGAGTTGTCTACTATGGTCGAGATTATGGATCGAAATTAATAAACATATTGTACATTGTTCAAATACGATATTGTAGTTGTGAACTGCTTTTGAGATCAATGTGCATTTATGTTTAAAGGACAGTGGTCATCGCGCCGCGTTCTGTTCGATACAGGACTCGTAGCGACGAACACTTGCTGCGCCACGACCACCGCCCTTTAACCTTTGAAAGAAACAAGAACGTTACCAGATATCCATGTTACAACACAATCCATCACGTGCTGAGTAAACTACATTCGTGTACTTGAGGTATTTGTAAAACTTACCTCCACATGTCCCCCAAGAAAATGCATCAGATCTAGCTAAAAGTAACAAAACGATAGAAACTGGCAGAATAGTTGTCATCATGAACTCGATCGTGTCCTGCTGGCTTGTTGTAAACTGCGTATTAGATAATGTGAGAATGCTCTATATGCTACATATTTTAGTATTAATATATATACAAATGCTTATCTCTCTACGTCCACATCGTGGGTGGACAATCAAATTGTATTTTCCGTCATGTGTGGGGAAGAATTGCTGGTGGTAACGATGCGAATCATAACACTTGTCAAGGTCACGACTTGAAATTTAAGGACAAACGATATTTGAAGTGTGATCAACTGATAATGAAGTTCCCATCTCAACAACTTTAATTTGTACGCAATTGGTAGCACACACAAAATACTCTAGTCCATGAAGCATTGATGAGTACGGTGGAAAATCAATCCTCGTGGGTCAAGTCAATGCAAGAAATTACTGTTAAAAAAGAAGTGGGTAACTTTTGGAATGGGAATGAAAATAACATTCAAGAAATTTGTAAACGTGTAGAGACTGACTATGATTCAAATTGGGAGAAAAGTATAAATACAGATGGGACAGGGGAACAGAATAGACTAAGAACATATAAATTATTCAAAACAGAATTTAAAATGTATATAAATGATGATGATGATGATGGAATAAGAAAAAGATTATGCAAACTAAGAATAAGTGACCATCCCTTAATAATTGAGAAAGGCAGGCATATAAGGCCAACGGTTAAAGTTGAACACAGGATCTGTACAAGTTGCAACACAAATTCAATTGAGGATGAATTCCATTATGTTATGAAATGCCCACAACATATTACAATTAGGAGAAAATTGTTTGATTAGAAAATAAAACTGTTAATTTCCATTTGATGGATGAAAAGTCAAAATTTAAATACATTATGGGCAACACTTCTTTATTAATACAGCTTTGCATTTTTATAAAAGAAAGTATGGTAATGTGATACAGTAATTATCAATTTCCCGATTTTCCCAAGCCATTTTGTTAAACAGTTTATTAACTGTGTTTTTTTTTGTATAATTTTTGTTTGTTTTCTTGTTTTGTTTATGTATTTTTTTATTTAGTTACAGATTTGACTATGTTCTACTCAAAGTGAATAATGTCAATAAAGTTAATATTAAGTTCTTATTATTATATTACTTTATAAACATAGTCCATTCCAGGATTTGGTTATATGTTATCTCGAAACGATTTAATACTTGATACGAGATACTTTTTTGAGGAAAAAAGTGGATGTTGTGATGTCATTTTCAATGAAAGATTCGTATATTTCAGCATTTGTTTATTTCAAAACATCGCTAAACCTTCTAAACATCTGAGGTCGTACAAATACATTCGTTCTTGGGTTGCAGCTACTCGTGATAAATGAGAAATAAGACAAACTAATTTGTAATTGCCAATGTAAATATTCTCGGCCAATGAATAATTAAGTTACCCCGACAATAGCGAGAACGTGCAATTCAGAAATATAAACAAACCATCAGTTGGTGCGTCATTGCCTACAAGGTCATACAGCTGTTTCCTTTCCCCAATCCCATCATGATATCTAAAGTAAATGCAAGATGTACATCAGGTCTTGCACAAATAAATGCACGCGTGGAAAATGGACAGCTGTATCCAGAAGCAATAGGATACGAGCGAAGTGCGTTCCATACATCATATTGTATTGTACTCTGAACATTTACATAACTTTATTGGCGTATTTGACCTATTCGGAATTTGAGTATCTAGGGAGTAATGCTGGTAAAATAGAGGATTCTGCCATGTTTCGAATTATGTGGCGCGCAGTAATTCGGAACAGAACCAAATCGTGAATCAGAGTGTCCAAAAACTATTGAACAAAAATTAAAAACGAACACAAAATAAAAAAACAGAGAAAAAACAAAGAAAGCAAACCCACCACAATAACTCTAATGGTTGTCAAGAAAATGTGTGTCCTTTCTAATGTCACTCATCTATCAAATGATGCAACCACTGGAGCTTAATTTTGAATTGCAAATAACAAATGGGAGTATACTAACCATGTGCTCACCGATCTAAAGTTTCCAAGTAGGAGCTACCCGATAACTGGTTAGTACATGTCAAGAAATATTCCACAGGACCCTCTCTTTCCTTTATTTTTCCTGTAAGATTACTATTGGACTCCTTTACCATTCCTCTAAGATTACCATTGGACTCATTCAGTATTCCTATAAGAATACCATTGGATTCCTTTAGTATTCCTATAAGAATACCATTGGATTCCTTTAGTATTCCTATAGGAATACCATTGGATTCTTTAGTATTCCTATAAGATTACCATTGGATTCCTTTAGTATTCCTATAAGAATACCATTGGACTCATTCAGTATTCCTATAAGATTACCATTGGATTCATTCAGTATTCCTATAAGAATACCATTGGATTCCTTTAGTATTCCTTTTGGAATACCATTGGATTCATTCAGTATTCCTATCAGAATACCATTGGACTCCTTTAGT